CTTCGTTGACAACAGTTCGTATCGAGAAAACTTCAAGTTGTTGTTAACTTCTAGGCTTGAATCTTCAACTTGCTTTCGGTGTTAGGTTGGTACAAGTAATCGTCAGGAAGAGTTGAAATGAGTGTTTTAGTTTAATATTAATAATAATAATTTTTTTATTTTTTATAAGATATTATCAGATTGGTAATATTCTATTGTAGAATAGTAACCAAATGAGTTTTTCAAAATAGTTAAAATTTCTCAATATAGCAGATTATTTGTAAGTACTTATAAAAGTAATTGCAGGATTTCAGGCTTATAGAGTTCAGCTTAATATTGTATTCACCAGATATACAGTAGTAATCTGAATAAAGAGATTACTAGCAAGGCTGTCTAAGTAAAAAAAAAATAATCACTATTTATATATCCTCATGTTCTGGGTACACTATGGTGGTGGTCAATCGAACCTCACACACGGTGTGGAGGGCATCAAAAAATAAATATCCTAAAATAAGCATGGAAGAATATTACAAAGTAAAAGTGATATTTCCAAAATCTAAACAAACTATGCCTCAATAAGCTTAAACTTGGGCTTAGATGATGCAAGAGGCTTGTTTGGCAAAAAACTATTAAAAACAATGAATTATTAAAAACAAAGGTAAAATATTTTAAGCCTTTATAGTCCTTTGAAAGTTATTTAAAGAACGTAACTTGGTTGAGGTTGGTTATAACTCTTATGTGCGAGGTAGGGGCATATATGCTCATTAACTTAATAATAATTGTCTCCATAAGAGTATCATAGACATTAACCAAATCACCAACGTTACGCCTCTGGCGAGTTGCCTTGTCTCTGCTTTTGCCATAATAATAAATTGGAGTTTCGGTTCTGCCCGTCACACTATTGATTGTGCTACGTGCACTTTCTTATGCCAACTTGAAAAATTTATAATTTAAATTTTGTTTAATATGAAATAAAAAGTATGTCCTTTATCCTAATAAAATCTCCGTGTTAGATATACTTTATTATTTACCCGTGTTAGATATACTTTATTATTTACCCGTGTTAGATATGCTTATTTATTATTTACTTTATAAAAATAATAGAAATTCATTAATTAATCCGGAGAAAAGCGGAAATTCTATATTTCTATGCAAAGTGATAAAAATGATCATTTGTCCGTTCACACACGTGGCAACAGACCAATCAAATCGTAATATAGTTGCACACAATTAGCCTCAGGTATTATGCATTTACCGAGTTTTTCGAGATTTATCGCCGTAATTTGCAATTCGGATTTTATTGTGGCATTGATACAATTATGTAGTAATTTTGATTTGTGCAAATTACATTTGCTGATTGCCTGACACATTCAAGAGAGATATCTATTAATTATATATGACTATACCCAACTACTATCTTCAATAGTTCCAACTAGATTAAATACAGTCAATCTTCTCTAAGTATACCCTCCTTGAGACTATAGTAAACAAAATTAAGTATGAACTTAGAGAGTGTGCATTGATTTAAAGCTAGCAAAAGCTAGCATTAAGGCCGAACTACATTGCGCATTCAGAGAAATTTAGTGCATGCATGATGATCTGAATAATAATCTTGTATTCATTTATTTAATTACAGTAATTAATATTTTAATAGCACATGCATGCAAAGGAAGAAAATAGGAATTATGTATAAAGGTAATAGTTAACATAAACGATGCATGAAGTTATCAGACTAATTACGAAGCATCAAATTCTTTATTCATAAACAATCGATGAAAAGTGATCTTGACTTGTATTTTCATTACGTATTCTAGAATTCCTGTGCTGTGAACCAAAAATTGCCAGTTTATATTTATTAACTGTATCTATGGTTTATGTTTGTTTTTTTTTGTACACTCATACGTACTTTTTTTCGTACACATATTTAGTCATTTAATTAATTTGTTGTAATTGATGAATTAATGTAACCTTTATATCATATAAAAGGTCTCTATAAACCATGGTTTTTTTTTGATTGAATTCCATCCTTATTTATTCTAACTTATTTCGACATTCACCTTAGACTTTGACGTGCACCACTCGTTATTGCACGTTAGACCATCATACCTACCCTCTCCCTATTCTTGAAAAGTCTGGGTTTCTAACCTCCAGTACAAAGTCCTTCATTTATCATCATGAAGAACATCAGTTTTGTATTCATCCTGTCCATGATTCTTTATATGCTGGCTCAAGAACTCATATTAGTGGCAGCAAAAGAATCTAAGAAAGAAAAAGAATCAAAGAAGGCAAATGACTCAAAGAAAGCAAATGGAGTGCCACATGCGCCACATGCAACGCAAGCAGCGGAAAAGCTTCCTGGGAATTGGCCAAAAGTTAACGTAGCTCCACCACCAAATGAAGAATTTACTAAACTCGTGGATTTATCTAAAGTTTCAAAAGCTCCTCTTACGACGAACACAACTAAATGCGATACTAAAGATCCTTATTGTTATTGGACTTGTACTGGTTGCGTTAGAAACAGTACTGACATTGTGTTGTGCCCCAACAAATTAGGTAATTATCAATATTTATTTATTTTCATTTGTTTGTTTATTGATTTACGTTTCCTCAAATGTTAAATTCAATAATCAGATTGGGGTCTTTCTTTCGACGACGGTCCAAGGTAAGATGTGATCCTTTCGTATAGTGATGAGATCCGAACTCCGTCAATCCGGACACTTTATTCAAAATTTGATCCTATGCTGTTAACAGTTATTTTATCTATGAGGTAATCCGCATCAGATGATCTGACAGATATCCATTATCCGTTTAAATTCATGAATATATTACTTTGGCCAGTAACTTTACATTTGTTAGCAATTCTACCAGTTTAAGAAATTCGTTACATCATTAAAAAAAGTAACGGTGAAAAAAAAAAAAAAATTGTGTACACAATTAAAAAGATATAAAGACTCTGGATTAGCCCGAATCTATAATAAGCGCGAAAAAATAGTATAGGGATATAAGCAAGGCCGGTGAATAAATATATATTACAGAATTGTCTTGTAAAAAATAACATTAGCTAGATAAGACTGACATCCATTAAACGGGTAACATGCAGTACCTATTTGATCTCGGATAACGGATATCTATTCGAAGGTCAAATCCGGGGGTCAGATAGGATTCAGATATTTGGATCACATCACTACTTTCGTAAAATCGCATATAATACTGAACCTCAGATGGTTTAAAGTTTCTAAACCGAACTTCGCAATCAAGTTTAAAATTTTAAAATTCGGTTTAGACAGTCTAAGTGTTCGGTTTATCTAGTTCATTTTAGAGCTAACTGTTGTCTTATGCAATATATATGTATGTGTGTGTTTTTGTTTTTTTTTAGCGAGTTTACAGATAAGCTCCTCGATTATTTGGAAGCAGAACAAGTGCGAGTTACCTTCTTTGTTGTTGGTTCCCGAGTATATGAACGTCCTGACATTTTGAGAAAGGCCTTTAAAGCAGGTAAGAAATATTGTAAATCCACCCTTATTTCTGTATATCTGATAATTATATATAGTATATAAACATACACATTTAAATTTTAGGACATCAAATCGGTATACACACCTGGTCACATCATGCTTTAACCAGCCAGTCCGATGAAACAATTATTTCTGAGCTTCAATGGACTGCTGCAGCAATCAAAGAGGCCATTAACGTAACACCTAGATATATACGTCCTCCATTTGGTGATTATGACGATAGAGTTCGTGACATTTCAAATCAACTAGGTTACAAAGTGGCAATTTGGGACTTAGACACTCATGATTGGATGGCAACAACTGACAAAACTTACCAACTAAATTGGATCGAAAATAACTTTACTCAATGGGTAAATGATCCTAAGCTTCGCAATACTGGTCATATTTCTCTTGAACACGATCTATATAATGAAACTGCTGCCCGAGTTTCTTTGGTCGTTCCGATTCTTAAGAAGGCTAACTATCTAATTAAAACTATTGCTTCTTGTTTGGGTGACCGTCCTTATGTGGAGGATGTGACAACTGACCCGTCCCCGACACCCACGACAGATGCTACTTGTACTACTGTTGCTGCTACTACTATTGCTGCTGAGACTACTAAGAGTTCAGATATTGCAGCAAAAAAAGCTGACGCAAATTCGCCCAATCCTACTTCGACACTAACATCTGATGCTTCGATGGTTGCGAGCAATTTTTGGTCAATTAGTTTAGGTGTTATGGTGTCTTTTGTATTTTCCTTATATTAACGAATTAAATGTGCTTGGAAACTTCGTCATTAAATTTCTCTTTTTTTGATGCAAATAATTAAATTTTATTTGCCCTTTTTTTATGGAGCTAAAAATAAAGATACTGTATATTTAAAAAATACTGTAAAACTCTCCGCCAATGTTGGCACTGAATATTTTTAAAAAAATTTTGGACGGTTCAAGTGCTATATGTCCTATTGAAATTACTATGTCCATAGGTTCTCTTGCAATATAGGTGACACTGATTGTTCTCAAATAGCTCCCTCGATGTAATTCAATCATTTCGATTAATCGAAATTAATTGAAGCGATCCCTGTAACAATTTCTGAAAATTCATTGTTGATTTTAAATTTCAGTCAATTGGAGTAATTCTATGAAAAAAAAGTTTTTTTGATTAAACACGATTTATTTTTTCAGCCAATCGGATCAGTTTATCGACCATAGGGGTGCTTGAGAACAACCACTATTAATAAAATGTATTATATATTAATCAATTGATTTAGAGTAGGTGTCACCTATTGCAAGAGATCCTGTCCATATAATAATTAATCAGACCAATTGCCAAATAAGGTTAGGGACACAAAAAAATATTTGCGCACTCCCGAAGGGCTACATTTTTGTTTTAGTATTCTTGTTACTTTTTATTAAATCGAATAGAAATATATAATGAGGTAACTAAAAAGAGTGAGATAACGTAGAAGAGGTGGACTACAATATCAAGCGTTCAAAATTTTGTACCTGTCTAAAATTACTGACGCATGCAAGATCTTATTCAGAAGCTAATTTCGGTTAGATGCAATTTTATACGCCTGAAGTTGCAGATAGCACAAGTTTATTAATTAATGAATTCTCATGCGAATACTGTATGTATATCTTTGTACAAATTGACTAATTGACTAAGCACGGTGTTTCTATTTCAGCAAGACAATTAAAATCTTTAAACATACAAGAAATTTAAGAAATTTGCGATAAATAAGTTTTTTAGACAATTACCATTCATCTCCAGTGTCATAGGCAGACATTCGTCTGATTGGCTGATGTAAATCAATTGCCCGGATAACTTATTTATACACTTTAAAGTACTTTCTTGTGAACGCAACGTTCACTAACAAAAAATCGCCGTAAGAGCAAACTCTAGCTCTAACCGAACGTAGATATTCACTTTTAAAATTAATCCAAATAATCCACCTCTCCAAGAACTTCGAATATTTTTACTAAATACTGCTAGTACTAGTTATATTAACTATATGTAAGTTTTAAATGCCAAAAACGGTTGATAAAAAAAGAAGATTGAGACGTTACATGTAAGTTTTAAACTTAGAACTTTGAGTGTACCGTTTGATAAGCTATATATTATAATAATAATAGGCTTGTACTAATGTTCACTGTATATTTTACATTTATAGAGTTATACTACTAGTGTAGTGAATGTAACTTTGGGTTAAAGTAGTAGGTCGATAATATGTAAAAAGTGTTATTGTTTCATTAATTATATAGGTTAAGGGTTATGTCGCGTCTTTAATAAAGGTTATGATAACTAAAGATAAAATAAAATCAATTTAATTACTTTCAAAATGTAATAAATAAAGAATAAAAGATAACTTCGTTAATAATTTATTTGCATATTGAATTTTAATCGATTTAAGCTTGGGTTTATTAGTAATAAGGCCATTTGAAGTTGATTCTTCGGTTAACGTAACCCTGGGGTGTCCAATGTACTATGTAAATCAAATATATGTATAGTCCCATATAAAAATCGAATATATAAATTTTTTTGTG